GGGTGGCCATACCTATATCAGCAAAAATAAACTTTAAGACAAAAATGCCACAAGAGACAAAGGAAGACATTGTTTAATAATAAAAGGCTCAATTTACCAGGACAATGTAATATCTGTAAATATATATGCAATTAACATTAGAGCTCCCACATATATGAAGCAAACATTGACAGACCTAAAGGGAGAAACATACAGCAGCACAATAATAGTAGGAGACTTCATACTCTACTTTCAGCTATGAATGGGTCAACAAGACAGAAGCTCAGGAAGAAAACAGGGAATATACATTGGTACAGCCATTATTGAAAACAGTATGAAGGATCTTCAAAAAATGAAAGATATAATTACCATATAATCCAGCAATCACATTACTGGGTATATATCCAAAGGAAATGAAATCAGGTTGTTGAGATATCTGCATTCCCATGTTTATTGCAGCACTATTCACCATAGTCAAGATATGAAATCCACCTAAGTGTTCATCAATGAATAAATGGATAAAGAAAATGTATATATACACAATGAAATGCTATTCAGCCTTAAAAAAGGAGGTAATCCTGTCATTTATGACAATATGGATTAACATGGAGTATATGATGTGAAGTGAAATAAGCCAGGCACAGAAAGACAAATATTACATGGTGTCACTCACATATGGAATTTAATAAGGTTGATCTCTAAGAAACAGAGAGTAGAATGGTGGTTACCAGGAGCTGGAGCAGCAGTGGGGAAGGAATTGGGGAGATGTTGGTCAAAGGTTACAAAATTTTAGCTAGATAGAAGGACTAAGTTTAAGAGATGTATTGTACAACATGGTGACTATAGTTTAATAATATATTATATTCTTGAAAAATGCTGAGTAGATTTTAATGTTCTTACCATAAAAATGACAACTATGTGAGGTAATACATGTATTAAGTAGCTTGATTTAGCCATATCACAGTGTATATATATTTCAAAACATCACACTGTACATAAGTATATATAAATTTATCTGTCAATTAAAAGAGGACTTGAACAACACTCAACAATATATACTAATTAGACATAATTAACATATACAGATTACCCCCAACCACAGCAGAAAAAATATTCTTCTCAAGTTCACATGGAAAATTCTCCAAGATAGATGTCGGCTGCACATGTTAGGCCACAAAACAAGTCTTAACAAAATTAAGAAGGTACCAAGTATCTTCTCCAATCATAATGAAATAAAAGTAGAAATCAAAGCAGAAAGAAAAAAGGAAAATCTACAAATATGTGGAAATTAAACAACTCACTTTTAAACAACCAATGGGTTAGGGAAGAAATCATAAGGAAACTTAGAAAATATCTGGAGACAAATGAAAATGAAAACACAACATACCAAAACATGTGGGATATGGTAAAAGCAGTACTAAGAAGGATGTTTATAGTGGTAAACTCATATTAAAAAATAAGAAAGATCTCAAATGAACAGTCTAACCACACCTTAAGAAACTAAAAAAAGAAGAAAAAACTAAACCAAAAATTACCAGAAGGAAGGAAATAATAAAGATTAGAACAGAGATAAAAGAAATAGAAAATAGAAAAACAACAGAGAAATTAGTGAAACCAACAGTTGTTTTTCTGAAAAAATCAATAAAATTGACAAACATTTAGCTAGACTAATAAAGAAAGAAAAGAGAAATCTCAAATAACTGAAATTAGAATGAAAAAGGGGACATTACAAATAATGTCACAGAAATAAAAGGGATTATAGGAAATCACTATGAACAATTATATGTCAACAAACTGGATAACTAGAAGAAATAGATGCACTTCTAGAAGTGTACAAACTACCAAGACTGAATGAAGAATAAATGAAAAAATCTGAACAAACTAATACCTAGTAAGGAGATTAAAAAGCTCACAACAAGGAAAAGCCAGGACCATTTGACTTTATTGGAGAATTCTATCAAACATTTAAAGATGAACTAACACCAGTCCTCCTCAAACTCTTCTAAAGAACTGAAGAGGAAAGAACACTTAATAATTTCATTCTATAAGGCCAGCATTATCCTGATACCCAAACCAGAAAAATACAAAACAAGAAAACTACAGACCAATATCCCTGATGAATACTGATGCAAAAATCCTTAACAAAATACTAGCAAACAAATTGAACAGCACATTAAAAGGATTGTACACCATGACCAAGTGGAATTTATATG